TACAAACAAAATCATCCTTCACCTCCGTGGGTGCTGTGAGCGCTCCACAGGGATTTGCTAAATAAAAGCACGATGATCTAAAGGTCATGTGAAGACAAACACGAGCACGCTGACTCGCATGTAAACACTGTTCACTAACAAATATTGGTTTTGGCTTGGTGTATGCATTGTGCTGAGCTGAAAGCGTACACGTGGCGTACACACAAAAAACACGCACACACATGCTTTCTCGGATGAGCTGACGGCTCCTGAATGACAACACTCATTTGACTCAAGGGAGTCTTGCTGAGGAGTCCTGCTGAGTGAGCTGGTCTATGTCAAGAATGAGGTGTAGAGATTCTATAGGAACACACCCACACACACTCTTGATCACCTCCTGTGAAGTGTGCATGTGCAGAGGCGTCCTGAGATACAAGAAAACCTTCAACCACGTCTTCATGGATTCTACCTATTGCTCCAAATGAACTACAGCTGCAAACACTATATTTTAAAATACACACCTAGTGCTTCAAAGCAGTGTTAAGGCCTCAGCATGTTTCAAACAAAGTGCTTGTCTGTTCACGCAACATCTCCTTTCCAACAGTGGAAATGGAGAGGGGTGCACCCGACAGACAATCCAACAATCACACCAACTTCATGCAGCGATTGTTTGTCTTCTGTCACTTTTTGTGTATGCAACTGAGTGTAACCCCATTTATGTTCTGTTTTTCATGGAAGCATGTTTCACTTTTAGAAGAAAAAAAGATGATGATGACTAGGTTATCCTTGGACAAATATATGTAAGGGATTGTAGGGTAACTTCCCCAACAGCACTTATCAGAAAGAAAGACTTTTATAATCAGAGTCATCTTATATCCAGACCATTACGATATTTAAGGAGGCACAGGGAATGAGAGTTATCCAGTTTATGGTTCGCACTGAGCTTTGTATGTTGTAACGCCGATTGTGAAGAGTTACATCAACTTTTATGTCCTCAAGGTGTTTAATCGTGGTTCTCTTGTCGAGAATGATATATTGGTTGTGCTAATTACTATCATGGTTTATTTTAGTTGGCAAAAAAAGTCAATGAGGTACTTACTGCTTTAATCACTCACTTAACATTCCAGTAGCTGCAACCCCTGAGTCCATTTGTTTTGCAAATGGACAGTCCTAAAGACTGTTTCATTAAGTGCCCTGTCTTCTATCAAGCTCCACTTCCTATTCCATTATTGGAGATCAATATCACGGTGGTGGGAGGATGGACCTGCATGTTTAGCAGTCCCACTCTGACCAATGGCAGCTCACAAATGGGACTGTAGCCTATGGGAGCGGGATCACAGAGCCAACATGAGCGCGGTGTTGACAGTAGTTAGGTAGAGAGTGCTTCATCAACGTTTCTCCTCAGAGGTTGTGTGTACCAGCAGGCGCCGAGGTCCCACAGTCCATCAGACGGCCTTGGAGACGTCGATTTACACCTGTCCCCCGCCCTTAATGGCAGGAATTAATCACAGGTAGCAGGGGAATACACAAACAGACACTCCCAGACAGGACCGAAACCCATCCAAGCACATGTATACCCACAAAGTACACTGAAGCTCACGTTTTACACACAGTATTTATACACACACACACACACACACACACACACACACACACACACACACTGACCGTAGAAGGGAATCTCTGGAGCCGTTTGTAATCTTACACAAACAACGAGTGTTATATTCCCCTTAATGTGTGTGTGACTCATGCATGACGAATTGACTCAGGCCTGCAGGCTGTTGTCATGGTGGGCTCATGAGAACACACCCTGGCATTGCCTCTGGGACAGCAACCTGTCCAACGATTCCTCGGGCAGGACGGCACCTGTGCCGACCAATGAGATACATGAAACCACAGCGGAGGGACCAATAGGTTTTAGGATTGAGGGAGTATTAGCGTGCGTTTATAAAAATTCATGTCAGCAGTGATGTCCCAGATTAGATGGTTTTGAGCTGTAGAAAAGCCAGATGCAGGGAAGGCACTTTACGGTGGGAACGTACAGGCTGTCACACAGAAACTAAAGCTAAAAAAGCAACTGGCTCTTTTCATATTATCAGTGATAGCACTGAGTGAATAGGAGTGCTTCTGATTAACAAAATTTAAGAGATAACCATGTATGACATCTTGCCTTTGTTTATACATCGGGCAAGTTGTTGTATGTATGCCCTCCTGTTAGTGTGTGAAACAACCCCATATGTGGTGAAGCTAACAAGCATCCATTAAATAACTAATTTACCATGAACACCACAAAAAAGAATTCTCTTAATAGAGTCAGTAAGACTTTATCAAGGAGAAGGCAGCCTATACTCATCAGGTGGCCAATTGGACAGTCAGTCAATATGTCAGTAAAGTCCATTTACACCTGTGGAATTGAGATTGAATGCTAAAAGAGTTTCACTAACAGGTTTATAACTAACTGTAATGACCCTTTTTAAATGATTGTTACATGATTATTGTGCATTGGCTTCAATAAAACAACAGGGCGCAGTAGTGGTTTGAGCTGAATGCTAAGCATGTTTACCATGTTATTGCAGTTAAGCTTGTTAACGTTTGCTAATTAGCACTAAAACTTACGGTCAGTACTTGTGCAGGTTCATTAACCAATGTATTAGATGACTCAGCTAGAGATTTAAGGGATCGCCAAAGTGATTAGAATTCATGCTAAGGGGGCATGAATGCCTGCTCCTAATTTCATGACAATCCATCCAGAAGTTGAGATATTTCAGTTAAAATCACAAATCTAATCCTCAGGGTGCTTCTACAGGAATGGTCAGGGGATCACCAGGGTCAGTGGGCTTCATGAATGTCTATACTAAATGTTTGGCTATCCAAGCAATAGTTGTTGAGATATTTCAGTTTGGGTCAAAGTGGTGGATCAAGCAACATTGCCATCCCCATGCTGCTAGTGGCTAAAAATACTCCTGAAACTGAACATCAGCTGCTAATGCAATCACTACATGTCAACCTGAGTTCAAGTTACTAGACAGCAAGTATCCACCCTGCTGAAGTATCCTTGAGCTATCTACTGAATAGCTTCCTATTTGCTGAAGAGATACTGTTGATAGAACTCTGATCTCTTAACTTCCAGTACACACAAAACCTGTCTTACATTGTAAAATAGTGTATACAGTTCTATAGCTTGTAGACCTGTGGAGACATTTCAAAACCTGTAATTCACTGGTTTACTGAAACATTGTGTACATCATAAACTCTGAGGCATTGCTGTCCAGTAAGTTGTTCTGGAAATGGAAGCCAATGTATTAAGGCAAAAACGCAAGTGAAACTGTACAGGGCTGGTGGAAGTCATGCGTGTAAATTTTGATATTTTGAAAAAGTTTTGGCCATCATCTGAACATTTCAACTTTCTGGACAACAGATATAATCTGCGCAAAGATGATCTGAGGCTTTCTGCCACCGGGTGTCCTGGTTGCCCTGCTTAGGTCGTGACATGCAGCACCATCTCGTGACGAGACAGTCCTCTTGGCTTCCTATCAACGCCCTGCAGACTGAGGCCATGTGTCTGCTCGCTTGTCTGTGAATAACTGCTTCTCGCTGACTTCGCCTTCACTCGGTCTTTTTACTCTGGCTCCGTCATCTGCTTCCTGTCTCTCTTGCATCTCGCACTCTTGCCTGTCGATTCAATTCGACTCGTCTCTTCTCTACTTTGCAACCAAACTCTTTCGCTTTTTTTTCTCTCCTTTCCTCAATTGCTTTTGTGGATTACATTTTCTTTAGTGCTTGTCCTCCCTTAACAACCCTCTGTTTCTGTGTCTTCTCTTTCTCGCTCTCGCTGAGACCCTGCAGCCAGGATGACTAGTCCAGTTGATGAGCGACACTGCGCTTCCAGTGTCTCATGAATGGGGGGAAGCAAATGCTGACCAATCACTCATTATAACACCAAAGGAAAGTCTAAGTAACCATTCAACCGGCTGATATCAGAACAAGACTCGAAATCACTTCACTTTCATAACTCGACACAACAAAATTCACACTCGGAGCTTTGTCAGCAGGAGATGTTCAGCCAAAAAATATTTCTCCACATCATTTACTTCATGAACTGGCTGACATTTATTCACTCAATAATTCAAGAGTACCACTAGCCAGTGTGAGTCAGTACCTTCAGGGGATTGGTTTAAACTGCTAATTCAGAGTCTCTCTAATGAACCCAATGCTGAACTTGTGGTTTCCAAAGATGTCCCAAGAAAACCCCAAACAAAGGAAATATTCCTTTACTAGATATAAAATCATGTTTAATACTCTCTACAGAGCTGATGTGCCTCTGTGGATAAAATGCTCATCAATAATTTCTCATTCTGTGGCAGACAGGAATGAGTTATTCAAACTAAAATACAAGATATTTCAGCATGTACAATGATGCATAAATCATTACTGCCGTGACCTTGCGCTAGTGATTAGTTTTTTAAGGTTCTGAAATGACTTCATACTTTGACAGAGTAAGAAAGAGAAAGATGGGGGGGGGGGGTCATGTGAGACATGCTTGTGTAACGTGATGGCTTCTGGAGAAGACTTGACATACAAGCGCGAGGAAAAGATAGGTAGAATGAAGAGGTACAGTAGAAAACTGTGACTGACGGCATTGTGGACTTTTAAGGTGAGATGTCCCCACACTGCTCTGGATCATCTAATGTCCAAAGCTTCTGTGTAAGCTAATAGTGTCCCTCTTGGTTGACTAACCTCCCCCCATCAAGTCACTCAGAGGGATTAAAGAAGCTAAAGCCTCCCTCTCCCTGCCATCAGCCACATTGGACCAGGAATGACTGACTGAAGTAGGGAAGGATTCATTCTCAATGTACTTGTAATTTAAATATCGGTTGTAACAGTAGGTATGCACAGTAGAAATTACTGAATACACATGCACACATGATAAAAACGAGGTTGTTCTTGCGTCTCCATTTCAATTCAAACTCCCCGAAGTAAAAGCATAACTCGGAAGGCTACAGTCACATGCAGCAACTCACCTTCCGATCATAGTAGAGTGTTGCTGCACGGCGGCCTCCAGGAGGCGCTCTAGGATGGTCCATTCTCCCATGGTTGGAGTTAGGAAGCATCCACTGGGTACAGAAATTCAGGTGGGGGGGCTTCCCAGTCAGCAGGGCAGTGTTGGTGTTAAAAGTCCCTGTTCTCTGAGTCTTCAAGTCCACTTGTTGGATTGATATGAGGTAGGGAGTGGCTTCAGGTGGCTTGTGTAAAAGAGGAGTCAAAAGCAACCTTAAAGGAGCTCAGTGGCACCTTATTGTTGCTACTGTGATCTGCCTTTTGTCTTTTTTTAGGCACACACGCCCCCAACTGCACCTGAGATGGTCGGACTGAAGCTTGTCTATACGCTAGCTGTACACAAACCCACCCTCGTGTTTCTCAGAGTATGGAATTCTTTGTCTATGCACCTGCTCAGATGAGCGTGCTTGTTCCCCTCCTCTGGGTGCAGCTGACCCTGTTTACCTCCTAAACAGCTGGTCTGTCATATGGTCTCACACTGACAAACACACACACCTGGTCCAACACACATAGACACCAGCGCTCATCTACTTCTACTGAGCTTCAAGGAGCAGCCGTAGTTTGTGCAAACAGACATCCATCACTCGCACACTAACTCTCCGCCCTCACACACTGGTTCTTTGACAGCATCAGTAGTAACTCTGGGCGGGCTCAGGTCCATACACTCATGTGAGCCTGAGTAACCAGGGATCTGTGTCTCTGCTTGTTCTCCGCTCCTCCATCCTCTTTGTTTCTTCCTCTTTCCTTCCCTCTGTCTCCTCTTCCAGCTATTTTTCCAATGGATTCTTTCTCCTCCTCTCTGTTGCTCCTCTCCTTCTCTCCTGGTTTGGTTCAGACAGCGCTGGACTGAAGCATCACCCTCCTCCTCGTCCTCCTCCTGCTCCTTCCCTCTGCTCGAAAACCGTGCGAGAGTCGCTGGTTTCCCCTTGTCCTCGCTGCCTCTCTCTCTGTCTCACCCTCTCTGTGTTTCTCTCAGCGTGGTTGACGAGAGGCAGCCCTCCTTTCCTCTCTTCCCTTCATCTTGTTTTTTCCTTCCTACTTGGTTTCTCACTCTCTCTCTCTGCTTGCGCCCTCCACCTGCCTCCGTCTCTCTCTCTGAGCCAGTAGGCAGCCAGACCAAGCGTGTGTCTAGAGGATTAGGGAGAGGAATCATCTCTCTGCTCCTCCCCCCTCTCACTCCCTCTCACTCACTCTCCATCACTGTGTTTATCCCCCCTCCTCCTTCTCCTCCTTCTCCTCTTCATCTCTTACTGCTTCACCAAACCAAACCCTTTTCCACTCTTCTCTCTCACAGCACCCAGTGCCCATGATTTTGTCTTTATGATGTTTTTATCATCTTCTGTGCATTGATACCTCCTGTGAAAAGGATCTTTGCTGTCTATACACACACACACACACACACACACACACACACATTCAGGCAAGAGACCTTAGAGGCAGTGCCATGCAGAGGCTATGCATAGAATGTATGTGTGCGTGTGACAGAGAGAGAGAGAGAGAGAGAGAGAGAGTGGAAATGGAATTAGCGACAGTCATCAAGATTTAGTTTGCTCGGAGGATGTGCTCTCTCTCTCTCTCTCTCGTACACACACACACACACACACACACACACACACACACACACACACACACACACTCTGTAGTCAAGATGACCACTAGAAGAAGATGACCAACCATTACAAGGCATCACTGATGGCAAGATTATTTTCATTATCGATGAATCTTTTGATTATTTCATTAATTAAAAGTGTATAAAATGTCATTGAAAATGGCCCTCAGAGCCCGTGTTGGCAGGTACCACTGAGGTCACTTTATTTTAAAGAAATATTGAGGTTTACAGTGTGTAACATTTAGAAGCATCTCCTGCCAGAAATAAGAATCTTTTTCATTACCTTAGAATGAGCTGTTTTCATCTCCAGACGCGACAGTTTACTGTCCATGGAGTACAGTAGCCCAGAGCAGAGTAACCAAACACTGGCTCTAGATAGGGCCAGTCACGTTTTTTGAACGTGTCGCAGCCACCCTAATTTCTCAACAGTTATGTTTCTTAATGCCAATGATTCAGTTTACTTTGATATTAAAAGCAGAAAATGAGCACATTTGAGGAGCTGGAACCAGCAAATGTTTGACATTTTTGCTTGATACCTGACACGAAGCAGCTACAATCAATGTTCATTGTATTATAAATGGATTAAAATCATCCGACTCTGCAGTCGTATTTGGTGAAAAAACGAGCTGTAGCCTTAAATGGCACACAGACCAAATTAGTGAGTAGCTACTGGACATAGTGGAGCATTTAGCAGATAAAGAGTTAGATATTTCCCTCAGTCAGTGGAGATAAAAGAGCTGAAAGGACAATGAATATTGGAGTAATTCAGCATTCACGCAACGTTGACAGCAGAACAGGAAAAACACCCCTTATTCCAACTTGGGAGTGGCAATGTGATTAATAGCTTAAATTAGCTACTTTAGTTACATTATGTATTTGTTACCAAGTGAAACCAGATTTACAAATTACAAAAATGTAATACAATTTGCTGAATTAACTGTATTAGTATAAATATTGGTTATTAAGTTTATTGACATGTCTGCTGTTCTTTTCACCAAGTGGTAGAAATCGTGTCAAAAATTTGCAATATCTTTGATGCTCGTGTTTCCCCACTCAGCTGCTTGTAATTAAGTTTTAAACAATGATATGAACGCAGTATTGTGTTCATCAGGTTCACACAATAACTAATATTCATTCATATACACACAGGAGCATCAACATGCAGTGCAGTTTTAGTTGCATCCTCTGAGACTCCCCAGTTCCCGGACCAGAGGAGTAGTAATCTATTCTTAAGAAGGTGATGAGTGACTGCACACACACATACACACGTAATCCGTCCTACCCCATGCCAAGACAATCTGGCAGCACTGTGTCTCACACGTGAATGGAGTAAGGCAAAAGGGAGAAAAAAAGAAAAACACAAACAACTCAGCTGCAATCTGCCTCCCTCTGGCATGAGAAAAAAAATATCCGGGTGACTTATAGCTCTGTCATTTGGCTATAAAGACCATTCTCTCGACCACTCTCAAAATAGATACATATAGATTATTTCTGTAATATTCTTACAGAATTCAGATTTTTAGCCACCAGACTGTAATATTTCTCATATTAGATGGATTAGATGGACATTCATATTCCCCAGAGGATGAATCCTCCATCCATGGAGGATAGCTCCACCATGAGGTTGACATTTGGGGTTATGGGTAAAAATGAATAAAAACTATTAATGGATTGTCATAAAATTTGGTGGACACATTCTTGGCCCCCCTCAGGATGAACTGTACTAACTTTTGTGGTTCCTTGACTTTTTATTTGGTGCCATCATCAGGTTAAAATTTAAATTTGTCCAATACTTATAGGACCACATATCCACCTTCAGCTTGGTTGTACTTTTAGCACTAACTAACAATGTTAGATTACAAACAGGCAAACTAAGATGGTAAACAGTGTGTTAGCATGGCCATCAAAAGCATGTTATCATGCTGTAGAAAGTACAGACTCAGAGAGCCGCTACCATGGCTGTAGCTTTATCTTATTGCACTTCTATATTTTTCATAATGGTGTCCCACAGATTTGCAGTTGCATGTTACATAACCACAAAATCTTTAGGCCTTCAACAATGACAAATACAAATATTTAATAATAATAAACTTATTTCCATAGTTTTTTTTGTCAAAGCCACTGGAGAGGGGCTAAAGAGCTGTAGGTTGCCTACCCCTGTTATTGGTTGTTATGTAACAATTTTGTCTAAGGGAACATTACCAGGGTTGGGGGAGACGTTGCTACGTTTACTGTAGAATAACACAGCCACTGCTGTGAAGTATTCACATTAGCCTCGTCTACAGCGTAGGCAGCTGTGTATTCTAATGTATTCTGCACTAAATCTTTTAAGTAGAAACCTAATGGACGAGGTTCCTTGGGGACAAGCTGTGACTCTGAATCTGCAGGTTAATTGATCAGCAGGTAGTTGGCTTTAAAAAGTTTATAAGCTGCCGAAATGGGAGGTGGTCCGGGGTCCACGACACATTTACAAGGAGGAAGGGCTGCAAGGTGGGTGGGGGGCATCTGCAGACTCTGAAGGTAAAAGATTACAGTTTCACACTGATTAACAGATAAGAAGCTTTGGTGTAGCTCCGGGCACCATGGGACAGAGTGCGTGTATGGGTGTGTGGGTGTGTGTGTGTGTGTGTGCCCCTTGTTCACACCAGCAGGTCACTGAAGGCAATTATGGTTTTAAGTCAGAGGGTCTGAATCAATTATTACACACCAACTTCCTCAAAATGCATTTCTCTCTAAGATTAAAAGATTCTAATACATCTACTTCAATTTAACTCCACTTAATCACATAATCTAATTATGAGGATTAAAATGCATACATTTCTTTAATTTCTGTTACCTCTTTTCTTAACTTTTAATCAAGTCCAACACTTTGTTAATCATGGTGTCATACCATTTTAAGCAGATAAAAAGTAACTATAGAAAAGCTGAACGTTTTACTCCCTGTAGTTTTTCCATTGAAAATAAATCACGCCGGAATACTGAACGTTTTATGAACCATCACCTACAGATGCTAGCCCAAGAAATGTAGGATATATTACAAGGCTTACATGTTTGACATTGCAGTAATCTTGAGAAATATCAGGCACACTGATAGCCGACATAAACGTCACCAATAACCCTGCAGTGGATAGTAACCTGACCCTGTTATTAACCTGACCTGTAGGTCTTTACTCATGTATAAGCAGAGTAGTGACACACTGACATTTGGCCTCAGACACAGCTGTATACTATGAAACCATATTCCCGATAGGGGTCACATTAACTAACACACACAGTTTGAAAATGGCATTTCAGTAAGTGTGAAAGGTGAACATGGAGGACACAGACACTTTTCATTTCCGTTTATATCATTAATGTGACATATTAATTTGTTAGCAGTTGTAATCATCTGAAAGGGTCAAACAGGCCCCTCAACAGTCATTAAGTTGTATATACACAGTTCCATTATGTTGCGTTTGTGGCTTCGAATGTTGTTCAGCTCCTGTGGTCTGAGGGTCGGCACTAAGTGATCTCTCTAAAAGCCCTCTTCTCCACATACTTCAGCTTGAGTCTCCTCTTGAACCTAAAAGAGGGGGAGGGAGGTAAGAGAGAGGAGGAGACGCACGTTTTTAATCAATATACACCATATGAATCTGTACATCACAGTGAGGCTTTGAGGAGATGTTACGTAAGAGTGAGAGGTCCTTACTTGGCTCTTTCTCTGGGTTCGATCAGGTTCCTCTTCTGCAGACTCTTGAAGCGGTCTTTGAGGACACTGCCCTCTGGCTGCAGAGGCACAGCATTACAGGAGGCAAGAGGGGGGAGACAAGCCCAGACACATCTATGTGAGACACTCTGCTCTGACTTAATGCTCAATTCCCACCCAAATTAGACAATCCCATTCACACCACAAAGGCTGATTTAAGTAGTATTCAGAGACATAATGGCAGGAGATAAGAGAGAAGAGCTGAAATTTTCCACTGGCAATTAGATAATATGAAACTGTAATGATCCCTGTGGGGAAAGTGGATTCTTGCACTATTAGAGGGTAGGATAAAGCTTAGAATAAGACAATGCTGAAGATAATACACCAACTAAATTAACCAAAACTCATTACAGATAAAGACTGTGTCCTCACTGGCAAAGGTCAGAGTGGATGAGTGAGCAGTTAGTGACATACCTTGAGTTGTCGCAGGGAGCCGGCCAGCTCATCGCTTAACTGAACCTCCATGTCCTGAGCCTGGAACCTGCAAATAAGGCCCAAAATGTTTACAACCACAGGTAAAGATAAACATAAGACACAAAAAAACATTTGTCTCCTTCGTTTAGATGGAAAAAAAAGGGGGAAAAGTGAAAATGTAAGGGCTTAGTTGGAATAAACATAAGTTGACATATACACACACATTACAAATAAATGACTAGAAACATTTGTGGTCACTTCAATGAGGCAAATTTACATGAAAAGGCTCAGACAGAAATTAATACCAGAGACATCATTTGTATTGCTGAAAGGGGAGTGGAGAGCAAACACAATGATGACCACCCCCAACAGAAAATGGATGTGCATCTGTAAAACTTATTAACAAGCCCATCATTCTTGGACTTGAAAATAACACTATTGCCAATGAATGCCTCATTTTCATTTTTTACATTGTAACTTTCACATTATTTGCATGTGGTTGCACGGTTATAATCTGTGATCATTTAACACATTATTCTGCTCCAGAGCCCCTCAGGTCTGGCAACCAAATGCTGTTATTTCTTTACAAAGTTCTCTATCCACCTTTGATTTTTTTCACATTTTGGATGCATTCAATATTGGACTCGCACTTGCTGCTACCTTAATAACATATTCTCACACACCAAAAGATCACAATCTTCCTCTCTTAAACCAGGTCTGCACTAGGTTCAAGTTAAACATCAGATATGGTGACCTCTAGTGGCGTTTAAGGGATTTCTACAGGACACGTCCACTGGGTTTAGACTAAACGGACAGGCAGGTTAGAAAAGAGTGTTGGGTGTGTACTTTAGTTTGCCGAGGCGTCTGGGTTGAGCTTTCTGGGCCTCCTCGTTGGCTTTGCGCTGAGTCTGTTTGTCCATGGTTTTCTGGTCCTGCTGTTTGATGGAGGCTTTTATGGAGCGAAGCTGGAAGAGCTGCTGCCGCTGGTCATTGTGCCGTCTGTTGGCCAACCGCCGCTGCGCCTGGGACGGGAAGAGAAACGGCAAGGTGGATTGTCAGTGGTGAGTGGAACTATGATTGTATTTAAACTTAATGGAGACCATTTGATGGAAACCATTACAATTGACACTTTTTGGTTTTAGAGTTTCAACATTGTTTAATTTTGGTTAGTTTATTAGTTTGGGGATCCATCTGAAAATGAAAAAGCTCCCCATTTTTAATAAGTTAAGAGGCATGGTTCGTACAGCTTTTTTTAGTAGAATTTAAGCACTTTCAAGGTACTTAAACCATAAACAGAAAAACACACAAATCTGATGGCTACTTGTTTCTAAGGAGGCACAATAATTATTGGGGTGGATAAGTTATCAGCTGATATTAATAATTTATTTTGAATTCTTATGTGAAACGATTGATGTGTTAACAATTGTGTTGTCAGATTTGGTTAGAATAGAGCTAAAGAACAAGTCTCTTCAAGTTCCAACTTTGAGCTTCAGGAGTCCTACACTATGAATGTGTGTGGTTTACTATATAGTAGAAATAAGAATTAAATATAGAAGAAATAGAATTAAACATTTCCTAAGTACAAGTCTGTAAGTATGAATTGCATATTTACCTTAATTTTGTCTGCCCTCTCTTTCTTCCTCTGCCTTTCAGTCTTCTTGTCTGCCAGTGAGATGGCTCCCACTGCCACGTCCTCCTCTTCCTCATTAGGAGGTGCCTCTTCTTCATTCTCCTCTTCTACCAGGCCTTCTACCTGCTCTCTCAAGATCGTCTCCTGCAGAACACACAAACACAAAACTGATTAACTATCAAAGACCCACATTAGGAGTTAAGCAAACATGATGGACGAGCTGGAACAATCATCCGTACCTCTGTTGCTGTGTCTTCTCTGTTGACAGCCAGCTGTCTCTCTATTTTATCTTCCTCCTTTTGTCTCTTGACCTCCACCTTGTGGGCCTCCTGCAGCAAGGCCTGGGTTCACAGAGAGAGGGAGAGGGATTAACAGTCAGCGCAGGTCATTACAACAAGATAAGATCTTATGGGAATCATAACAAAAAAAAAAAAAAAAAACGTAATCAAGACATAAACAGCATAAATAAACTGCATGTGTTCCGGATAAACTCAACACCAAATCACAACATGTAAGACCTCTGAAACTGTCATATGCAGGTACATCACTTGTTAAAGATGCTAACAGTGTAAGTCTGCAGGCTGTAGAGTTGGTTTTACCTGATGGGAGAAGAAGTCTGGGTTGTAGGATCCTCCAGGAGCAATCACCTCCACAGCAGGAAGCACAGACGGCTTCTCATTCAGCTTCTCTGGACGCTGCCAACACAGTGATGCAGCCACTTTAGTCAAACTCAAAGCACCACACATACAGTACAAATTATTAGTCCCCTACTGTCTGTGCATTAGCTTAAATCAGTCTATAAGAGGACGTTTTAACAAAACAAAATGTTTTCTCACCTTGACAAGCTTCTTGCCCGTCTGTTGAAGGTACCAGGAGTCACCTTGATCTTTAGCTACATTAAAAAGAAGAAAATGGTTTCAAATATAAGGACTTGTGTGTTAAATACAGTTTCACAACCTGGCAGCCAGCACTAGTGCAACATTTCAAATTTTCAAAGCCATGCAGCTGTAAATCTATCCATCTAAATTACTGCACATTGTTAGATATTTAGCTGGTACTGCATTTCCCTCCTCAACTTCAATATTTAGTTGTGGTGACCTAAATTGACAGTTCACATGCGCACATCAAGCCTTGGGTATTGCCAAATAGGCCAGCATCCACCAATTGAGAAAACAAAATAAAGCCCTGGTGGCTTCCTCTTTTCGATTCCCTTGATCACCAGCACCTGGCAGGCATGAGAGGCTTAGCTGAAGAAACTTAAATATGCATCCACTTGCACCGTGCCCACACGGATTGCCTGCTGTATGGAAAATGTAGCACAGCCTTAGCCTCTAACTCCCACATAGAAGGAACCAAGTCCAAGAGATGCACAGATCATTTTAGGTCAATATGTTGTCATCAATCAAGTTCTTATGGATGGTTAAAAATCTATTGTAATATATAATGGAATTTGGATCCTAGTATAAACTCTATATTTTTACATCTACGTGTGTATCCTCAGATCCCAGACAACTGTTCACACAACAGTCATCTGAGCTCCTATGTGTTGTCTTCACATTCCCATGAAGGAAATACTGGGAGCGCAAGGATGGGATCATCACTGGACGGAAAGACAGACAAACACACAGACACACACTGCACTCACACTCTTGCCCCCATATGTCGTAATAGTCTCTGTCTGGGTTGTTGTTGGCCTCTGTCACTGCCTTCTTGGCTGTCCTGTTGACCGGCCGTCTGTTCAGCAGCTGTTTCTGCCTCCGTGGCACCACGCCTTTGGCTGCCAGCTGCTCGGCCTTCTGGCCAATGCGACGGAGTTTCTTGGCATTAGGTTGCTGATAGGCCAGCACACTGGGGGGGGTAAAGGCAGAAGGGATGATTAGTTGATAACGAGAGACAGGAGGAGGTAAAGGAAACAGATAACATGATGGAAGACTTGAAGCAAAACCAGCAGCTAGCAGTTTAGGCCTGTTTGATTTAACACCGTCTATTTTATGATGTGTGTATATCCTCAGATCCCAGGACACCGTTTACACAACAGTCTCCTGAGCTCCTATGTGTTGTCTTCACATTCCCATGAAGGAAATACTGGGAGCGCAAGGATGAGATCATCACCGGACACACGCAAACATTAAAATAAACAAATGCAAATTGATTGATTTTTCAATACATTTTTAAAATCACAGATCATTTAACAGATACATATATGAACCAGAGGAACACAGAGGGGAAGCCTCCGTCATGGTCTTTTGTTTCTACGGTGATGTCTGACAGCACACCACTTACTTTATTTATGACAGGTTGGGCAAGGGTGACAAATTGAGTTACTATTGCTATAAACACAGATGGTAAAATAGGCCTGAAGTGGATCTCGCAACGTTAACATAAGTGACATTATCTGTTGTATATAAAACAATATCTGTCCTGTGAATCAGATCCACTATAACATTGTATGGGTTCTTCCCTTGGCCCATGCAACACCCTTCCACCAAATCCGAATCAACTGAATCTAGTCACAGAAGAAGAGTAAAGCACAATGAGCCGTGATGAATACTGACTCTTTAGGTGGTTGAATGAGGGAGTCGTGCTGCAGGATCAGGTCTATCCTCAGAGGTCGTGACGTCTTCCCTTTCCTCTTCTTCCCCTCGACAGGTTCTGCGACTGCACAAAGAAATACAGAGTAGTGTGACTGAGCATCAGACACACGGTTAGATTTTACTTTAATGACTCAATTTGGTTTTTTTTTAAAGCAACATAAAAGGGATACTATATTTAAATTTAATTTTACAGCCTTACACTGTAAATGACAATAAAACAACCGTGAATACTTGAATATGTATTTATATAAGGATAGAAAAGAACTTTCAAGCTGGTTAGTCGCTTATGTGTATTTCATTTACATGTGCAACTCTGGGAAATGCAGGACTATGTAGTTGTTTTCACTGATAAAACAATTTCTTCCAACTGGAGGAAATCTATACTCAATTTGTGTAATTATATATATTCACCCTTTGGTTCAGGTTTCTTTGGTTGTCCAATGTCCAAAAAGAACAAACTGTCATCTGACTTCTCAGACAGCAAACCCCTGAAATACAGAAAGATCACATTATATTACATGTTACACTTAAATTACAAAGAAAATCATTAATCATTTATTGTATAAAATAAAGGTTGTCAAATTAAACAAGATTGTACATTTAACAATAATTAACCTCAGATCTGTTCCTCGTTGTTTGATCTGATTTTTCAGTGCTTTTGACACAATCAAATGATAGTATTGTATTGTTTTAAATATCTGGTATTTAGAAAGTAGCAAAACTTTTGACAACCATAGTATAAAATGTCAGACAACAGTATAAAAAAAAAAAAAAGTTTCAAGAGACCATGGTGACATTTTAAAGCTTTGTGATCTTTTGTTTTCAACCTATAGTCCAAAACTATAGATATTTAATTTACAAAGATACAAATAAAAAAAGAACAATAAGCAGCAAATACTTAATACTTACTAAGAGATGAAAATGTTTTTTTTTTTATAAAATCACTGACATTCAGCTCTTATAAAAACTACCAAATGGCCTTAGCCATGGCTGACACCATTACTGGAGTTCATGTGAAACATCACAAGCACTGTTATATAACCTCAGCAGTCTTTTACAGACAAACAAACCCTCCATAGGTGCTAACTGACTGGACTCATTCAGCAAAGCAACTTGAATCTTCTGGTTTTAAGACACTGTCGCCATTAACGAGAATTACATTTAGGAGGACAACAACACCATCACCACCACCACCACCACCACCACCACCACTGTACTGAGCGCACTCAGCAGCAGTGATAAACACATAACACATGTCCGTGTGTGAGAGAGGCGACGACAGAAAACGGGACATTAACAGTAAAAGACCCCAGGAGGAGACCTCGTGGTGGAAATGTCTGAGTGAAGTCCACGGGTACCACAGCTAACTCACCCCGTGGTCCTCTCCTGGTGTCTCACGTCTTCTAAAAACGCGTCTACGTCGTTTATGTCGCTGTGTTTGTTCCAGCTCTTCTTCTTGTTCTTGTTCACGCGTTTTCTCCGACCACTGCCAGGATCTGAAGTGGACTTTAAATTTATGAAACCTGGCTGTGAAGCCACCACGCGTTTTAACCTCCTGCCCGGCGCCATGTTGGAGGAGCGAAGAGAAACACGTTTCTTCTTCTTTTATGCTGGAGAGACGTCGGTGGCGCCACCTGCAGGTCGGACAGTGTCAGTGCTATAAAAACTGGCTACATATAAATAAAAGTTTATACTTGTTTTTTTTTGTTTTTTTTCCACTGTAAAATATTTTATAAGGTTTGATAATGATTTGTATTTACAGCAGAGTGTGTATATTAACCAAGCTTTGTGTGAACAACAAAGACTATTGTTATTGATGGTTTTAAATTTTATTTTTTATATTAATTACATAATAAATACAATTTAAAATGTGAATATAGTACATAAAGTCTGAAAGACTGACTGTCACTCACTTTATATTCTCTCTCGAATATTTATAGTGCTTTAGTGCCCTTTTCTCTTTTCAGGTAAAATGTATTTAATAAAAAAAACAATAACAACCTAAACTAACAAAACTGTCAATAATCAGTATTGACTAAAACTTGTTGCACGACATTGCACGTGTGATCATTCAATTGTTTATCATGTTGCTGCATGTCTGTAATATGTTGGTCCCAAATGCATGATGGGAAACGTGTCTCCTGTTGCTTTCCTATGTTCTTTTTCCTTTTTTTCCTCCCTTCGTTTTATTGCGAGAACAACGCTTAAGAGACTCAAGAATAAATTCACATTTTTAAGCTCCAATCTTTCAGTAAGTTTTAAAAGGTAAGTATCACCCTTTCAATAAAACTCCAATCTATCATTTAATGTTATGTTAGTTGTCGGATGGACGTGTTTTTTCGTTTATTTTCGTTGAAAAAGAAAACGCAGAGCAGTCGAGCTATTATCTGCCTGCTCGGGGAGTCGGGGACCTAAAAGGCATTTGTGATCTGGTCGAATTTGACTCGGAAATGCGCCTAAAGTGAGGGGTCATCTGACAAAATATTGCTCGTCAATTGATCCCTTGACTTGTCTAGTGTCATTTTCAAAAAGCATATTCCACTTTCGTGCCACGGTTTTTATATTCTTTCGTCGTTTTTATCATCACCCTCTTCGTTTGCTACAACGATTTTTCCTTCCCGTTTACATTCTTCTAGCCAGCAGCCAGCCATCATCTTTAGGTGTGATAGATTGCCGACACCGGGCAGCCGGCGCGGGCGGGGTCGGCTGGTTTCCTTTAAAATAGCTCATTCTGAATAAAAAATCAAGGTTTGTGCGCAACCGGGGAGTCCACTGTGAAGAAACGAACAAACCCACGTTCACTGCGCAAGGGGCGGGGTATGTCGGGGGATTGTCGCGCTATGATTGGTGGAAAGGTTCACAACATCCCGCCCCAAAAGCTCCTATGCACAATGTGATTGGTTGAGACGAGAAACAGCTCGGCTGTGATTGGCTGTGTTCGCTGTCGTTTTTTACTACAGCGTTGCATAAGCTGCCTTGGATATAATTAAAAAAAAAAAAAAACTGAGGCTCCTGATGGGGATTTTTTTTGTATAACCAACTCTGACTGATGAGTTGAGTCTTATGTAAAGTTCTAAATAAAATACAACCTGAAATTAGATTTGTATCCTTCATATCATGTACCCTAAAGCTATTCTGTTGTTCAGCCCCCCTTTTTGTAGTTAATTTACCAAAACAAACTTGTCCATGTGTCCTCAGCTGATCTTCAGTAGCCATGGCCCGTACCAAGCAGACTGCCCGTAAGTCCACTGGAGGCAAAGCCCCACGTAAGCAGCTGGCCACAAAGGCTGCTCGCAAGAGCGCCCCTTCCACTGGTGGTGTCAAGAAGCCCCATCGTTACAGGTGAGACAGACAAAAACAGTGTTTTCACTCTGTTTCTGGTTGGACATAAATCTAAACCATGAGTTACTGATGTCTTTACAGATGTAGGCATAATATTATAGATAAATACATTAAAATGTTTTTTAGGAAGCAGAGGAGTACAAAACATTCTCAAACTGTTGATATATATAAAAAAAGATATTCTTCCCACATACTCCACACATAAGTAAAAGATTTTTGAATTGTGAAGGCCCGGTACTGTGGCTCTGCGTGAGATCCGTCGTTATCAGAAGTCCACTGAGCTGCTGATCCGCAAGCTGCCCTTCCAGCGCCTGGTGAGAGAAATCGCCCAGGACTTCAAGACCGACCTGCGTTTCCAGAGTGCAGCCATCGGAGCTCTGCAGGTCTGCAGCACTCACTGGTGAAAATGATTTAACTAAATACAATGTTTCATCACTCCAACTAAAAAACAATGTTTTATCTCTGCCATCTGCAGGAGGCCAGCGAGGCCTACCTGGTGGGTCTGTTTGAGGACACCAACCTGTGCGCCATCCACGCCAAGCGTGTCACCATCATGCCCAAAGACATCCAGCTGGCACGTCGCATCCGTGGGGAGCGTGCTTAAAATGTTTTCTTTTGTTATATGCTGTCCTCTTGTCCCTTCGCCACTCTTTCTATCACTTTCCTTCCTCTATACTTAGTTAGTAGTTTGGTTTGAGGTTCAATATATATCATATTGTGATAACCGTAAAATGTGTGATCATGTCTTCTTTGGTGCTACTAGTTTCCTTAGAGATATCTTCATGTAAGTTTGAAACTTTGAATCACAGTTACACTCCTCACGTCTAACTAGCTAGCTCAAAGGAATGCCTTGTCATCTCTATGATTAAGGTGTTTTGCAAGCCAAGAATAGTGTGTGATCTGAACTGAGCATAGGAAATAGCATTAAGGTTGAGACATTTTCCTCTTCAGACGGACATATACATTGATATAATGGGTCTTCTGATTTTTTTTCTTTTTTTAACTAGAAATTTGTTGTACAAGTAGTGATTTTTCTTTTTTTTTTTACAACAATGGTGTATTTCTACTGTTTCTGTTTAATGTATCACAATACATGAGTTTAATTCTGGTTCTTGTCAATTAGAAATGTCATCATGCTATGATGACACTGCATTTTTGGCAGTTTAACTTACAAGCGGCATATATGTAGCAAACCTTTGTTGATCATATTTTGATTTTCAGCCACGTTATTATGTCCAGGTAATGTTTTGACTTTTTGTTCCTCTCTCAGGTTGATATGATAACCTAATTTTTTTTCTACTGTGTTTTTGATTTATGTTTTCAGTCATTTTTAAAAGGCAAAATATTTGTACTGCGGAATTCACTTACAAACATAATAAAACAGATTCTTGTGGTTAAATATGCTGTATGAGTGAATATCGACACGAAAACATTATTCACATGTGAGCTGGGAGGATAAGTTGGACAGAAGTTTTCTTTTTTACTACAAATAATCTGTTGTCTCTTTTCAAGCAAATGCGTAAAAAGAAAAAAAAAATGTATAATCCCGTTTCTCAATTTTCTTTCTCAGATGTGATCGTAAACTGAATTTATTTTACTTCTGGTCTGTTACTCGTACAAAACAAAAACTCTGAAGTCACTAAGACTTTAGAACATGATATATTAGTAAGTTATGGCACTAATTCATTCTTATTCACACATTTTGTACGTTCATATTCTCACACCCCCTTCCAAGAAATGCTGCATACTTGCCAAAAGATCCATTTCTGGCTGATTCTGATATTTACACTACTCACAAAAAGTTAGGGATATCCCACTTTAGGGTGAAATTTAATGAAAATGTAAAAAGTTGATGCTACAGTGATATTATATCATGAAAGTAGGGCATTTAAGTAGAAGGTCAAATTAAGATCACCTGGAAAGGTTATAGTTTATTTTATGTACATTCTGAAATTTCATCGGAAAGCTGAATATCCCTAACTTTTTGTGAGTAGTGTAAATAAAAATCCAGGAGCATACTTTTATTGCAAATAGAGCAAAAACAACTCAACTTTTCTGTAGACAAAACTGATTATGATTTTGATATGACTAGGTCTATGTCAAAAGTCTGAGCTCACATCGCTCCCTGCATTTTCCTGATTTCAGTGAGTGAAAATGTCACTTTCCACACGTACTTTTAGCAGCAGTTAGATCATTGTTATCCACAACAACCCTTTCAAACCACTTCTCAACAACCATTACACAGCACGACTAACTTTTGAAGTGTTAAATGTCAAAGTTTCGGTTTTACCCTGGTCACATGCATAGTGAATGTAGAAAAAGGCGACTCGGTCCAAACAGCGGCGGCACATCTGTGTTTCCCCTCTACTGCTACACATGTAAATCACCGCCTTGATCGATACATATTAATAAAACGCGGTCAGACTGATTAACCCTAGCCGGCCAGAAAATATCAGACTGATCAAAGTAACCACAGTGTTTAGTGAGCACTGTTGCATTGTGGGACAGATGATTGACGCGGCGGCCATTTTCCCGCTGGACGCTGCTTCCCATTGTGGATACGAAGAAGAAAATAGAGACAAGCGAAACATTTCTCACGACTTCTAGTCACTTTTCCCCTAGGTAAGCCTCTCAAAATATGTCACTGTGTTCGTGAATTAACTTTGTTTTTTTAAGTTGTATTTTTTTGTTCTTTGTAGACACATTTAACTGTGAAAAAGCTCTAATTTTGTCGTGTGGAAGAATAACAAACACGGCTGTCGAACCGACGGTGAAATGCAGTCTTTACTGCAGCCGTTCAGATGAGGGGAAATTCTGTTTCAAATAATGCGCCGGTTCAGCTCGGTTCTACGCTGCCGTTAGGGACCGTTCGGCTCTCCTGTGCCCATCTATGAGTTCCTTGAAATGTCTTCTGTATTGTTCTCTTGTTTCCCGGTACGCTGGAGCCGCGGTTATTAGTAAAATTGAAGTTGTTTATGTGCTACTCCAATGCTCTTCTGCCCTGGGTCTTTATCCCGTTTGCGCATCAAACCGCCGCCATCATCAGAGCGCGGTAGGCGGACCTAGCAACAGTGGAAGGCAGCTGTAGAGCCCGCCTACTTTGAAGGCTCTGCATAGTGATTGGTTGATTCGTTGTATTTCTAGGTACGTATTGGTCTACCAGCCAATAGTGCCGTCGCTCATATTTGATGGACGTCTGTCGGACTGATTGTGATAGGGAATGTCTTGTATGTTTACTTACTCAAAAAGTTAACTTA